AAATCCAGGGCGGGCCAAGAGAGGCGCGCGAGCGCCCTAGGAGTGGCGTCGAGGAGCCCGCGTCACCAGTGGCGGGAGGAACAGCCGGGAGTACCTGGTGAAACGGAAACACATGCTCATCAAAGTAAACGTGACGGGAAGTGAACACACGGTGAGAGATGGGATCGTAGCATCGATATCCCTTGGAGTTGGAGGGGTAGCCGATGAAGATGCAAGCGACAGATCGAGGTGCAAGCTTGTGAGAAGCAGTGTCGGCAGTGCTGGGATAGCAAAGGCACCCAAAAATACGCAAGTCGTCATAAGACGGGAGCGTACCAAAGAGAAGATGGTGAGGTGCGTAGTTCCACCGTGGGCGGCAGGGTCTAATGTTAAGAAGAAGTGATGCAGTGGCGAGTGCGTCCGGCCGGAAACGAGGCGGCACATTGGCATGAAACAGGAGCGTGCGAACGTAGTCATTCAGAGTGCGAAGGACGCGTTCGGCTTGGCCGTTCTGCTGTGAAGTGTACGGGCATGTGAGGCGGAAAACTATGCCGTGATGCGACAAAAAGGTGCGGAAAACGAGGTTGTTGAACTCTTTTCCATTGTCCGTCTGAAGCGCAAGGATGGGACGCCCAAACTACGTGCGAACATAGGAGTAAAAAGCCATCAAGATAGAGAGTGCATCCGACTTTCTGCGTAAAGGAAAAATCCACACATAATGAGAATAATCATCAAGAATGACCAGATAATATAAATAGCCCGAGTTACTGGGAACCGGAGAAGTCCACACATCGCTATGAATCAACTGAAAAGGAAAAGAAGTAATGATGGTGGAATTACTAAACGGCAGGCGAACATGTTTACCGACTCGACAGGCATGATAAATGTGATCCTCGATCTTATTGCAACTGAAACTGAAACTTCTAAAAATATGACGAAGTGTGGCGGCGTTGGGACGACCCAAGCGAGCGTGCCAGAGATCGACACTAGCGGAGAGAGCAACCGGTGCGGTGGTGGTGGATGAAGGCGAGTGCACCGGATAGAGCTCGTCGGGGCTGTCACATCGGTGAAGTACCATCCTGGTTCAAGCGTCTTTAACACAAAAACCAAGCTCGTCAAATTCAACGGTAACAGAATTTTCACGAGTGAAACAACGAACAGAAATGAGATTCTTAATACGATGAGGGGACACAAGTACGTTAGACAAAGATAATAAAATAGAAGGAAAAGGAAAAGAAGTGTGCCCAATATGTGTGATAGGAAGTGTGGAACCGTCGCCGACAATGATGCGGCGACCGGTGGAGACAGGAGTGAAGGAGACAAGGTTATCTGGATGAGCAAACATGTGAGCCGTAGCACCGGTGTCCATGTATCAATCACCACCTTCAGTGTAGTTGTTCGGTGTAGGAGCGACATGCAGCCCGGTGAGGAGCACAGGGTCCCAGGGCGCCGGCGGCAGGACCGGCGAGGGGGGCGAAGACGCCATGGAGAAGCCGTAGCCGCCGCTCAACGGGGCTGTGCTACGGCTCACATGTTTGGGCGGCGGTGGGTATGCTTCATACAGCCCCGGCTGCAACTGCGGTGCCGGATAGGACGGATGGTCGGCCGAAAAAGCCTACGGGCCCGCTGACAGATGCTGTAGGGGCTGGGCGCCGTCTGGCTGCTGCCCAGCGGGCGAGTGCTGGCCTGCTGACGACATCCACCAGTACCTGAGAGACTCATACATGGTTGGAGCCTTGTACGCATGCGGAGACCCGTACGTGGAAACGGGCGCATCGTAGATGGCGGCCGCCCCATATGTCGGCGGGGTCGCGTTCTAGGGCGTCGGCGGCGGTGAACGGGCCTGGTGACGCCATTGCTGGTTCGACAGTAACAATCCTTGTGGTTCGACGGCAACAGCAGGAGGCTTCGGTGACGCGGATGGCGTCGGTGGTGCGTGCACAAGCTACCGGCGGGCGATTACTTCCGGCCGATCGAGCGTATACCGCGAGATGTACGTACACCACTTGCACCTTGATTGATTCACTTGGAATTGACTCACGTACGTAGCAAAGGACCAAGCATCTGGATCGATTTCTTCGAGCTAGCTAGCTTGCACTATCCCACAGGATGTACGTATACGCTAGAAGCCGCCGAAGATTGATCGATGCGATCTCGCCGTCGTCGAGACACAAACACACGGGTCACAAGATTGGATTGTCACGCGCTGGGAGTGTAGCAAGCAGAGCAA